AGGGTACCTGACACAGGACCCTCATGCCAGAAGAAAGCATCCCATATCACGCAATATAATGCAAAAATAGATTTGATTTATATCTCATGTAGTTCACAATGGACCCAAATAAAGTGCCTTTTACAAATATAAATATAGCTACATACATATAAAGAAATCACACACCAACTATTTAAATAAAATATGGACACAATCACAAAAAATAAGCACACTAAAACAAAATATTGATGAAAAACAATGCAGACTGAGCTTGCAGGGCAGGGAAAGCCTTATAAAGCTTTGCCATGCCAAACAATTGGACTCCGAGCACGCTGATTGATTGGCTTAAACAGACCAACCTGAATGCTCTGACAGGTAATTCTTGGGATTTACCTGTTAGTCCAATGCGTGGGGGCTTAAGGAGGACAATAGGACCATCCCCACCCATGGGAGAGGAAGGGGGACACTAGGTTCCCAGTTTCATTTAATAGGCCCCACTCATGGGGCAAGGAGGGGAACTGTGTCCCCCCAGTTATTTAAATAGGTGCCCCATATTGGGGTATGGTTACCTTTGCCAGGTCCCCCTTTATTGGATTTGCTATTGGGCAGTAACAGCCACTGGCTAGTAGACATGTCCCTACTTGCAGCATGGATTAGGGGAAGGAAGGAGGTTTAAATTTAATCTGAAAACGAATGAACAAATGGATGAAATTCAGTTTGGACTATACAAAATTTTGGTTGGTGCCCAAGTCTAGCTGTTACAATTACCGGCTATTCTGTCTAGTAACTGATCCACCAGGGGCATGGGGTCATTGTCTGTTACTGTCCGGTCATTAGGCTACCTGTATTCTATGGAAAAACTGGTCATACCATCTCAATTTGGCATGAATACTACCAGTGAGGCCCATGGACTCTTGGAGGGTTCAATAACCCCTAAAATCATTCATCTCTCGGATCTCCTTTAGCATATTCTTTTGTATTGCATTGGGATCTGCTAGGGCTGCTTCCGTAAGGGTGTATGGTCTCGGGTTTTGTTATACCTGGAATGGAGGACACTGCTCTCTGACTCACAGGTCAGAGAGCATGGCAGTCTATGTTCCTGTCAGTTATAGTAAACCTGATTATACAGTAAATGTTCAGTAATAAAGCAAGGTTGCATGTAACTCATAGCTCCAGAACATATGGCAAAAAGGGGATCCTCTCCTTCTCGGTGACTCCCTCTCAATGTTCCCTCACTAGGTCTAATGTCCCCCTCACCCACCATCCATATAACAATTCAAATGTTGAGGAGCCAGTAGACACTTGTGGGACTTTCCTGTAGGTATATACAGTGAGGGAAAAAAGTATTTGATCCCTTGCTTATTTTGAACATTTGTCCACTGACAAAGAAATGATCAGTCTATAATTTTAATGGCAGGTGTATTTTAACAGTGAGAGACAGAATAACAACAAAAAAAATCCAGAAAAACGCATGTCAAAAAAGTTATAAATTGATTTGCATGTCAATGAGTGAAATAAGTATTTGATCCCCTATCAATCAACAAGCACTCTCTAAAAGGGAGTGTTCCTAAACTCAGCTTGTTACCTGTATAAAAGACACCTGTCCACAGAAGCAATCAATCAGATTCCAAACTCTCCACCTTTGACAAGACCAAAGAACTGTCCAAGAATGTCAGGGACAAGATTGTAGACCTACACAAGGCTGGAATGGGCTACAAGACCAGAAACACCGTCTCCCTCGGTCTGGTGCTCCATGCAAAATCTCACTTTGTGGAGTTTCAATTATCATGAGAACGGTGAGGAATCAGCCCAGAACTACACGGGAAGATCTTGTTAATGATCTCAAGGCAGCTGGGACCATAGTCACCAAGAAAACAATTGGTAGCACACTACACTGTGAAGAACTGAAATCCTGCAGCACCCGCAAGGTCCCCCTGCTCAAGAAAGCACATGCACAGGCCCGTCTGTAGTTTGCCAATGAACGTCTGAATGATTCAGAGGAGAACTGGGTGAAAGTGTTGTGGTCAGATGAGACCAAAGTCAAGCTCTTTGGCATCAACTCGCCATGTTTAGAGGAGGTGGAATGCTACCTTTGACCCCAAGAACACCATCCCCACCGTCAAATAGGGAGGTGGAAACATTATGCTTTGGGGGTGTTTTTCTGTTAAGAGGACAGGACAACTGCGCTTCATCAAAGGGGCGATAGACGTGGCCATGTACCGTCAAATCTTGGCTGAGTACCTCCTTCCCTCAGCCTGGGCATTGAAAATGGGTCATGGATGGGTATTCCAGCACAAAAATGACCCAAAACACACAGTCAAAGCAACAAAGGAGTGGCTCAAGAAGAAGCACATTAAGGTCCTGGAGTGGCCTAGCCAGTCTCCAGACCCTAATCCCATAAAAATCTGTGGAGGGAGCTGAAGCTTTGGGTTGCCAAACGTTAGACTCAAAACCTTAATGACTTGGAGAGGATCTGCAAAGAGGAGTGGGAGAAAATTCCTCCTGAGATGTGTGCGAACCTGGTGGCCAACTACAAGAAATGTCTGACCTCAGTGATTACTAACAAGGGTAAAATCATGACTGAGTTTTAGTAGTACAGTCTGATACTTCTTAGGAATTACTAGCTGTTTTTTTTTAAATTTTTAAAATTTTTTTTTTTTTTAGTAATTTAGGAAGCCCCTTCTCTGCTTCTCTACATTAACCAACTAAGGTTGGGTCTTTCCTGAGCTCCCTTTCAAACTCTTGGGGGTATCCTAAAATGAGGCTGGTATGTCAGTCTGGTTTGGTGTAGTTGGACTTACTAGAGGTTCCTTGGAGTGAGAGAAGTCAGTGGTCCTGGAGCCTCATGGTGAGTGGATATGCAGTCTATGGAGGGTTTTAGAAAACATGATAGTGAAATTCCCCAAGTCACTGCCGAGTAGGACCTGGGCAGATCCTTCAAAACCCCTACTTTCCCATTGCGGGATCTGGTACACCAGTCAAGATGGATCTGGGCAGCAGGGAACATGGGTAAAGTCCCTCCACCACCCTTACTGCCATGATATGACCAGTTTTCTCCAAGTAAGTAATCTTTTGGGGTTGTATAAGAGTCAGGGTGGCCCCTGTGTCTCTGACCCTGGACATACACACTATAAAGCTTGACCGGCTGCTGGTTGTGTTATCACCTGCAGCTTGTAAGGAGTCTGCTTCATGAAAGATGGTCAATTGTTCCTCGAAGTCTTCCATCTCTAGTCTTCAAGGAACTGCAGGGTTGACCCAGCACTGGTCCACATGCAAACAATGGAAAGTTTGGTTGGCAGTCCCATATAAATCGTTTTCTTTGGGGACAGTTGTTCCTTAGGTATCCCACTTGTTGGCACCTATAGCACAAGCGGCTGCTCTTCTGCTGGGGAGATTTGTTGTGTGAGGGTGTAGCAGTACATATATTTATACATAGACCCTCTTAATAGGTTGTTGTAACTAAAACAATACAGGTCCCAACCAGGCCTCTCTGTGTCTGCAAGATAACTAGATTGAGAACCGCTAATCTATTTGTCAGGCCGCCTTAACAAAATACCCCAAAACATACATTTCTCCACCAGTAAACACCACAGCATAGCATAGCTCACCCTGTCAGTTGTATACAATTCAAATAGCACCCTGATTCTCTGCACAATGTAAGAACGCCGCCTGGTTAAAAGTTAAGTTGACAAGCTTTGTGATTGCATGTCAGGGCACTTGGTCCGATAGTGTCTGCTAAGTGAAGGTAAGAGCTTTTCCATACAGTTAGGATAGTCTCATAACAACTCTAAACTAAATCTGAAATAAAATAAGATTTTGGCTTGGATATGCTAATGGTAACTAATGATGACTGTGTTGTGGGGACAAAATTTTTCACCCTTTCTTTTCTCATTACTATATCTTAATTTCCGAAATACCCAATTTTAAACTTCCATTTTTGGTAGTTGTGGGACTGCAGCATTTTGTTAAATTTGCCATTTGAGTTATTGGAACGTAAATTGTCCGAGTTAAGTAGTTATTTCCATTTTTCTATGTTTAAACAATGTCTATAATAATGATGCTATGCTGAAAAAAGTTTGGAAAAAATGCTTTGTTTTGAATTACTCATACACTGCAGTGTTAAACTATTTCGCAGGAAAATACAGTTGCTAGCCATGAGATAAAAAAAAAAAATTTAAAAAAAAAATTTAAATCACACAATTAAGAAGTTTTAGAATAGAACTTTTAATTACAAGTATTAGTACATACTGTAGTATTAATAGTAAAAAACAAATTACTAAAATAAATATAGCATTGAACTACAGCTCTTAAAAGGATATTGCCACAATATATAGAAAGTAAGAACTGTGCAGTCATTGGTTTTGAAAGTAAACCTCAATTTCCTCCTTTATTTTATAATCTGTAAGATCCAATGATGAAATGGATTTTACAAAACTAATGCAAGAATATGATTATTAATAAATACTTATCAAACATGGAAAAAGTTAGAGCACTATGACCAAAACCAAAGGCAAAATAGTCAGATTTTTACTGAAGCATTCTTTAGTAACTTAGAACAATAAAGTCCAGTCATAGTTAAGATAATGAAAAAAGGTTTGTGCTACATCGATGTAACTTGGCAGCCAAAGAGAGTGGACTGGAATGCACATGCGTAAACAATGACGACTTCACTGTACTAGTCAGTTGGGGTGCTAGACGCCGTTGAGTGAGCATGTGTATTATGGCTGTCGCATGTAAAATGACTGAGCAAGTAGAGCAACGAATCTGCATAAAATTTTGTAATATGCTTGAATATTCCTCCGTGGAAACTATTCAGATGATTCAGAAGCCTCTCTGGGATGATGCAATAAATGCAGCGCAAATAAAAGTGTGGCACAAACGCTTAAAAAATGGTTGAGAATCTGTACTACATCAATGTTGTTTGTTGGTTGAGAGATGCAATACGATGAAAGTTGCTGCAGGTACATCATGACAACTCGCCTGCCCATCCATCATGTCTTGTCTAATGTTTTTTGGCAAACATCAAATCACCCAGGTGACTCAGCCCCCCCTACAGCCCATATTTGGTGCCCTTTGACTTCTGGCTTTTTTCAGAACTAAAATCCCTTTTGAAAGGGAAGAGATATTCAGGTAAATATGATGAGGCAGCTGATGGATATTCCAACAAAGAATTTTGTTATTAACAGTGGAAGAGATGCTGGGAGAACTGTGTGAGGTCCCAAGCTGCCTACTCTGAGGCAACATTGTCCTATGTGCAATGTTTCTTGTATCTTGTATCTTCTTCAATAAATGTCTCTATTCTTCACATTACATGGCTGGATACTTTCCGGACAAACCTAGTATATTGCTTTGACTTAGTTTGGTTCAGGAAAATGTCATCAGACTTAAAACAAACTTGAATGAAACCACTATGTGGCAATCACAGGCTGATATGTTTGAAACAGATTTCAGGGGAAATACCTAGGGTTAATCACTAAATCAGAAACTGCTAAACTCAACAACTTTTCCAATTTGGCTATTTTGGCCGTACATTTTAAATTCTCTGGTCAATCAAATGATGTATAGAAAATTATTCTGATTGTTTCTTTTTTTCTATTAAGGGGATTTAAGGCACTCAAAAATTCTCAAAAAAAAAGGGACACTCCACTGCTCAATTAAAAATAAACAAATCACAGTTTTGTATAATCCAAATTAAATGCATGCATTCAATTATGCACTTTTAAATTTATTTTTTTTAAATTCTTTATTGTAGTCCCAGCAACAGTTTACAACAGAAAATAAACATAAGCACTACACAGCTCGTGTAACAAAATGATAAATGAACAGACAAAATTGACATGTTGATGTTTTGCTTGCCTAGCCACAACCGGAGCAAGTTTTTTTTTTTTTTTTATAATTAGGTAAATATTTTGAACGGTAAACTCTGCCTAAGTAACAAGTTAATGCCTGTGGGTTTGTTGGCGGGCATGTGTTGTGAAACTGTTGTTGCATAAGGTGCGATGATAGAAAGGCTTAAATTGATCGGTTGTAGCCTGGTAAGATCGCTAGATTGCACCTAGAGAATACCAGGTTGGTAAGTGAAGAACAATGGAAAACTATTAAATAAAATGAAACAATTGTTAGTGTGCTCTATAGCGTGGTTTCACCATTACCATGGTTTGTGAGAAGGTATTAGTGGTGCCCAATAACCCCTGAGCACCCTGGGGTGGGGAGAGAGGAAGGGCAGATTATGTAGCATAGATTTTGCTCTAAATGAAAATATAACATTTATAGGAAACAAAAAATAAAAAGTTAGTGGTTGAACATCTCAGCCACCAGTCACTCAGTGTAGCGTGACCTGGTGGCGCGGACCGCGGTACAGAAGCGTCTGTTTCCTGTACCCGGACGGTATGAAAGGAAGTGCTCTCTCAGTGAGAAGAGACCACTAAGGGACAGATTGGGGGAGAAGGGACCACTAAGGGACAGATGGGGGGCGGGAGAGAAGAGACCACTAAGAGACAGATGGGTGAGGGAGACCACTAAGGGACAGATGGGTGGGGGGGGGGAGAGAACACTGAGGACAGATGGGGGTTGGAGGAGAGAGACCACTAAGTGACAGATGGGGGGAGGAGGAACCACTATGGGGAAAATGTAGGGGGGGGGAAGGAGAGACCACTATGGGAAAGATGGAGGGGGAGGAGATACTACTAAGGGAAAGATGGGGGAGGGAGGAGAACTCTAAGGGACAGGGAGATGGGAGAGCACTATGGCAACGGGGGTGGGGGCAGGGGAGAGCACTAAAGGTCATGGGGTGCATTAAAGGTTAGGGGGGCAGGGGAGAGCACTAAGGTACGGGGTCATGGGACACATAGACACACCGAAACATACAATGCATCCCTTACAAACACACAATGCATACCTTTCACACAGAAGCATACAATGCATCCCTTACACACAAACACTGCATTACATTACATACACAGAAACACACCTTGCATCCCTTACATATACAAACACAGATTCACACAATGCATCCCTTAGACACACTCCACACACACACAGCATGCCTTACACACAAACACACACTACATCCCCTTTACACACAAACTCTACATCCATAAGCACTGCAGTCTTCAATTTTTTGTGTATATCCACGATGTCTGGTTTGTTGGCCAGCATCTACGTATCAGTCTGGATCTAGAAGTCTCACAGAATGACATCATGGTTTTATATTTTATTTTTAGGGGTTGCAGTTCATCTTGTGAACCAGCAGAGGGAGCCGGACCGAAGGTAAACATTCTGTTCAGGCCGCGGGGCCATATGGAGCATTCAGCCCGCGTGGCCAAGTACTGAGGCAATGTGGCCACGCAGTGCGTTCTGACCGCATGGCCCAAGGAGAGGAGCGGCGCGGGCACCGGTTAAAGGTAAGTTTGAGACAGAACACCCGGGAGGATACTCCCACTGGGAGTGAAGGACCAGGCTTACCCTGGTGATGGTGATGAAAGAAACAAACCAACCTCAAAGCATGCATATCAACCTGAGGGACCCAGAAACGTTCTTCAGGACCACACCCCTTCCAATGAACCAGATACTGGAGACTATCTCTCAGGAACCTAGAGTAGAGGATAGCAGCAACCTCATACTCCTTAACCACATCAACCAATACAGGAGGTGGGGAAGTTCGAGATCCAGTAAACCGATTACAGATCAGAGGTTTTAACAGGAAGGTATGAAAGATATTAGGCATACGCATGGAATGAGGTAATTCTAGGGCATTCGATACAGGATTCACCTTGCACAGGATGCGGAAAGGACCAATGAAGTGAGGAACGAACTTCATGGAGGGCACACGGAGACGGATATTTCGGGTAGAAAGCCAAACCTTATCCTCCACACATAGGAAGGAGCCGCACAGCGATGCCTATCCACCTGTGCTTTCTGTCTCTGAGCAGCTTTAGCCAGTAATTGTTGAACCTGCTCCCAAGTACTACGGAAACCAGCCATGTGCACATCCAGAGCTGGCATTCCCTGTGAGGAGAATGCAGTATGCAGTCGGGAGAACAACAGGATGCCGGCCATATACTACGTAAAAAGGGCTGAACCCAGAGTATTCGTGAGCATCGTTATTGTGAGCAACCTCAGCCCAAGGAAGTCAACCCAATCATCTTGGTGAAGAGAAACAAAACAATGTGGATACTGCTCAAGAGACTGGTTGGCATGTTCGGAGGCTCCATTAGTCTGAGGATGGATACCCATCTCCGAGCAGAAGGCCCTCCAGAAGCGAGAAACACATTGACTACCTCTGTCAGATATAATTTGTTCTGGTATGTCATATAGACGGAATACCTCCCTGGAGAAAATCCTAGCTAATTCTGCAGAGGAGGGGAGTTTCCTCAGGGGTATGAAATGTGCCATCTTAGAAAACCTATCTACGACAATAAGTATGACAGTATGTCCATTAGAAGGGGGTAGTTCTATGATAAAATTGATAGATAAGTTGGACAAGGGTTTAGTGGTTAATTTGGTCACCCCTAGTTGCATGGGCTCAGTATCTGTAGATGAAGAAACATCAGGAACTGAGGCCCAGAGCTTATACACTGCGGAGCTGCAGACCGGATATCACCACCGGACCACCAGGGAGCCCACAATGGACCACCAGGAAATGAGAAAAGGTATTTAGGCTCCCTCCCTCGCACCATCACCCACCTCTCACACATTATTACCCTCCTCCCTCTCACCAACACCACCACTCCTTCACACCATCACCCTCTCACTCACACCAACACCCCCACCTCTCACCATCACACACCCTCCTTCACACCATCACCTCCCTCCCTCTCACCATCACCTCCCTCCCTCTCACCATAACCCCCTCCCTCTCACCATCACCCCCTCCCTCTCACCATCACCCCTCCTTCACTCCCCTCCTTCACACCATCACCACCCTCCCTCTCACCATCACCTACTCCCTCCTCACCCATCCTCCTTCACCCCCTCCTTCCTCATCACCACTCACCATCAACTACCCTCCTTCCCCCTCCTTCACACCATCACCACCCTCCCTCTCACCATCAACTACCCTCCTTCACCCCCCTCCTTCACACCATCACCACCCTCCCTCTCCACCATCTCTTCCTCTCACCATCATCCCCCCCTCTCACCATCACCCCCCACCTTCCCCATCACCTCCTCCTTCACCCCTATCACCATCACCCTTCCCTCTCACCATCACCCCCCCCTCACCATGCCTCCCCTTCACCAAACCCCCTCCTTCACCAACAACCCCCCCTCCCCTCACCATCACCCCCTCCTTCACACCATCCACTCCCTCACCATCTCTCTCCTCCTTCGCACCATCCACCCCCTCCCTCACACTAATACCCCCTCCCTCTCACATCTTCCCCTTCCTCTCACAATCATCCCCTCCCTCTCACCATCACTCCTCTCCCTTTTACCCCCTCACTCTCACCATCACTCCCTCTTACCATCACCCTCCCTCTCACATAACCTTATTCCCTCTCACCAACACCCCCCTTCCTTTACACCATTGCACCCCCTCCTTCACACCATTGCACCCCCTCCCTCTCACCATCACCCCCTCCCTCACACCATTACCCTGCCTACCTCTCACCATAACCTCCCTCACACCATCACCCTCCTCCCTCACACCATCACCACTCCTCCCTCAAACCATCACCCCCTTCCCTCACATCATCACTACCACTTCCTCACACCATCACCCCCACATAAACCACATTGTATCATATTTGTCTTGCTTCATAACATAAATATCCATTATAAAACCAGGAAAAAGGTGGGCATGGATGGTGAGCTGATTCGGTGGTGCAATGGGCCACTTGACTGAATTTGCCCCCCCAGTCCCAAGGCTGCCAGCCCTCCCCTGCACATATGTTTTATGTACCCCTTCTCATTGGGTCAGCTGTAATAGTAGCAGTAAAGCACCTCCAGGTTATTATAAAGGGCTTGTTTCAGTAACCCACTTGTTATCAGTTTGCCCTTATTCCCTAGCATCTCATATGATCATTGGTAATTAGGATGACATCCGAGCAGGTGTGACTTTCAAGTTACTTTCATATTGTTGAGGTAGGCAGTTATATATTATTAGGTGCCTTTCCCAGGTACACATACTAGTGAAGGCATCTGATCAGATTAGAACCTGGATTTATATAATACGTATTCCCTCTTTTTTGTAGGTACATGCATGACTTTCTGTTGTGTAATCTTCTCA